AAATGCAATATCTTTTTAAATAATCAGTTAGGAGACTACGGCAACATGCTGCTGCAGGCGATATTACGAGCGCGCTGCGAGATTGGAGAAAATCCCTCGTAACTCATGACCTTTGCATCCAGTTTAGAGCTGCCCAATGTATGAATGGACTGAGCGCTGCACAGGTAGTGCTAGTGAATTGGCAGCAGCGTCCGATCTGCAGGCATCCACCATGGTATGCGCCAAGATCTCAACGAAGCGGAATGTTTATGCAACTTCGCTGCGAGGTCCGCGGAAGTGGCTGGGGTCATCTAGGAGAAGAGCAACTCCCTCCCTCCCTCCTCCTCCTCCTCCTCCTCCTCCTTCCCCACCCCCCTCGGGAGCACACACACACACACTCACGCTAAGATTAGAGCCAGCCATCCCCGCTAATCTCCAGAGCACGGCCGCCCCGGGGCTGCAGCGCTGCCAAAGGCCTGATAGGAACGCCTACGGAGGAGCCTGCTCCCCCCCCCCCCGAACACACATTAATCAAATGAATACCCGTGCAAGCAAATTCCTCACACTGGCTGTATGTGTCTAGGTATGTTTCATCCTGTTACTCGATGTGCTCTGGTGAGTGCCCACGTGACCCAATCATCCAGCATGAAGACACGGTGGCATTAGGCAGGGTCAGCTAATGCGACAGGGCAGAATTTAAGTGGGGATCACGGAGCTCTGCGGAGCATGCTGCCCCATGTGGCTATAGGCGGAAATGCACTAATGAACCGCCATGACTTGCGCCCACAGTCCGTCTTTTTCTGCACGGACAAAGAAATCCACAGATCTTTATTCCTAAAAATTAGAAAATTATCTTTTTTTTTTAATAATAATAAAAAAGCTTAAAAATAAGCACCACGTCATTGCACCCAAGTTTTCTCCATACCACTGGTTTACTGTGTTCACGCTACTGTCCTGGTCTAATGGAACACCCTCAGCACAATTAGCTACTTGTGGGAACCAGCTATTTTCACATGGCTTTTTTTCCCATTTAGGAAAGATTGCATGCTATCCGTCTGAGTAACTTGGAGTTCCTCCTGTTAATGCCACAATTTTCTCACTGGAAATTATACTATGTGTTACATTGCTGTCATTGCGGCCACACCCAGCATTTTCACTTATAATGTGGCAGTGCAGCACGTACATCCTGACTGGGCATCCACACCTGAGCACACCCTGCCTCCAACTGTCAACTCTGCCTTCTTACACCCGGACCGTAGCGCTGCATTCCTCAGGAGTGTCACAGTAGAGGAAACCGGAAATAGGAAGTCTGGTAAAGCCTAATATAAACATTGTTCATAAACAATAAAGCAATTGTCAGTGATTTCTAGGGAATAGAGGCTATAGATCTGAAGGTGAAAATGCGGTTTTTAAAGGAACAGAGTACGACAATGTACGGTACTACACCAGGTAGGGTACTGAAAAACCTTCGTTTAGAGATGCATCACACTTTTTTGACGTGGTATTTTTGAATATTAGAGTAATGAATAAATGCTGTTCAAATAAAAATTGTTGGGGATTCCAAGTATCAGTAATGTTTTTAAACATCTTTGACATGTGCACAATCAACTTCAGTTTTCAGCAAATAGTTAATACTGCCATCTAGCGATGTCTTTAACCTTTAACAGCTTGAAAGGGATTTTTTTTTCGTACTGTATCCCTCGATTTCAAAATCCAACTTTTACTTAAAGACATTTTCTTCGAGGTTTTCAGCGGATTCAAAACTCACTTCCTTGTGCAGAGCGTATATGTACAGAATACGCTTGATATTAAACCAACATTAGGCTACAATAACATCTGTCCAAACATGCAGTGATTCGTTATGTCATGTCTGTTGACTGTCATGATAAATGATTAATAGTAATCCTTGACGTAGACGTTCTTGCTCACGAACAAGGCTTGTGCAAATTTATGCCTCGGGTATGCCCTGTGAATCAAGTAGTTTAGCAGATGAAACCACCACTGCCGAAATCAGTCCTCGGAACTATTGTGATGCATTTTTTTAAAAAGCATTGTTAATAGCAAATATTGCTTTTTATTTATACTATTTGTTTAAAACATTAACAACGCACCGTGGACAGTGCGTTAAAACACAAAACTAAAAAAAAAAACACACACGTTAATGACTTCATCACTTATCAAAATGAGCAAAAAGCGCTTACGTTCACGAGGCTTTAGTGTTCTGGTTTCTATGGTAACCCACCCACACTATTGGCCGAGGTAAATTGCGCTCATTATTCTAGGCCTTACAGCACCTGTGCATTGGTTATTACAAAGCAACGCTTTCACTTACCTCCACTACTCTTCGCCGATTTGCATTTCAATTACATTTTTTTCCTCCTGACATCAAAATCTTACCATAACCTTCAAGGTGAACTGCAAACAAGAAAAACATAATTTGAAGTTCAGCTGTTACAGTCATATTTCCTATGAATGCATCCACTTTGTAAATGTTTTCAAACAATTTCCAACAGGTGCTGCTGTCTCGCCGTTCAAACCTTTCGTGCAGGTACAATTTAGCATTAGAAGAAGAAAAAACACGTGTATAGCCATGGTACAAAAGGAGTCTTTTCCAACTTTTATTTAACTTCTAACAATAAATAACTGGAACTCTGGGTCCATTGCATGATTAATTTGATCAACATGAAAGTCAAATTATTCCAAACTCACAGTGTTGGACTAATTTGTAATTTACGCCATTTGAGAAATGCTAGGAAAAAAAAATCAAAATTTTTCGTACTGTTCATTTAAAATATTCTTGTATTTCAATATTTACCTAAAGTAGACGTACAAAAAGTGTTGCACAGTTTACCGATTCTATTTGTTCATACTTTTTGTCCAAGAGGAAGACCTTTTAATTAATGCGTTCCACTTAAACTGTAACCAGGTTTATCCACTAGATGGCAGCAAGAGGTCTTCATGAGCGCTTTTTCGGGTGTAGCAGGTGGGTTACACTTCGTAAATGAAATCCCGTGATTGCACGCTAAAATTACTTTTCCAAAAATACTAAACTTAACAGGTAACAAAACATCTGTCTAAAGACAGATGCAGACAACAAAAAGACTGCAAAACCACAGTTACACGCTTCAACCTCAACTGTACAGTATTTCTATTTTTCCAATATAAACACAAGAAACTGAAGCAGAATGGTATAGGGGATTTTCAGTGCAACTAATCACTTAATTGCCTTAAGGGACTCTGGTCCATTGAGGGCCACTAGCTGTTAGCTTTTCTGTAAGTGAGTGAGCCTAGGGCAGGATCTAATCACACTAAGTACTTCTGCTACTGGTTAATCATTAATAGAAAGATCAGCTCTGGCAGCTCTGCAATAATTTCTAGAGCTATTTCTATGCTAGCTAAGGACTTCAGCATACAAACTGCAACACCAGAATACTTGGTGTTCTAAATTCTTATGGTGGGAAAATATGGTTTAATGTAAGGACTTCAACGTAAAACTGAAAGCAAGCAAGCAAAAAAAAAAAAAAAAAAAAAACACTAAGAAAAAGCAAAATGGCCTTACAGCTGACAATAACCAGAGTCCATGCAGATTCTTGGATGTGCAGCTACAATGTTAAGATGGCTCCAGGTTAGCAATGACGGGGTTCTGACGGGGTTCTGATGGGCAGAGTCGCCAGGGCGACGGTCTCCAACTTAGCACTTTAAATCAACTGATTCCTCAGACCCCAATTCCTAGTTAAGCCAATAAAGCCATTTATAACCATTTAACCTAAGACAACAGGAGACACCCAAGAGAAATGTAGCCATTTCCATAAAAAGGCTACTTTATCTTTCTATATTGCTTTTTACGGTGTAATCCTTTGTGCAAATGTTTTTATGTGCTGGACAGAACCATTTCACTGAAAAGGCTGCCTGCTTCACAATGGTCTATGCTCCTGGTTCCCTGGTGAACCTTGAGATGCAGAACAGGGTGGTTCCATGTGTACTGAGCACTTATTGCAGAAAATGAACCCATTTATGCTTCCAGGCTTGATGCGTTTATCATAGTCGCAGCCTCGCTTTTCCAAAAGCCACTTAAGATGCAGCACGATAACTTGGGCTGGCCCATCCCTGCTTGATTAGCCAGAGCCGCAGTGTGTGACATCAATCGATCTTCGAACAAAGGCATGGGCTACGAGCCAAAACAGAACAGGAACCAGCCGTATTTCACAGTAAAGACATAAGATTTCTTTGACATGCTATTGAACCTCCTAGCTTAACATATGAAAGGAATTTGTGCCTTTAAAACTGAGCACCATCAAATGCCGTAACCGCCAGTAGGATCCCTGATTCTCCCCGGTCCTCCTGCAGAACAAAATTAGTGCCTCGTTTGACCCTCCAGATGAGGTTACTTATGACGCAAATAATTCCTTCAGCTCCAGAATGCAGACTGAACCCCAGCTCATTTCACAGCTCCTAGGGAACTCACACGTCACCATTCCTCAAAACTTCACCTCTTTTCATCATTAAACCCAACATGCAACAGATAATGGGGTCTCTCTGAACATACATGCTTGCTGGCAGGACTGCCATATTTTTTTCTTCCAAATATTGGCTAATTAAAATCTCTTGAGGACACCGGTTCTAAAAGACACCTGTAATCCTTTATCCACAACAATAAAAGAAACCATGATGAAGAATGACTCAGGTATAAAAGACCAAGTTCGCACATAAAGGTTTAAATTAATTTATATATAGATTATATATATAAAACGCTTTTACCCACTGAAGCAAACATCACGCATTTCTTTCCTTGCTTCTTTTAGAATGTGAAACGTCTTGAGAAACTTTTCAGTTGCCTGAACAGAATTAAAGTAACCAAATAAATGACTGGCAACGGCATAAACACAGNTCACACACACACACACACACACACACACACACGCGCACACACACCTTCTTGCTGTGGTAGAAAGTCACACATGCACCTGCTTAACGCTTCACTTCCCCCGGAATGGGGGGCGATTGCTGACGGTCTGTAAACACAGGGGGGGGGGGGGGGGGGGGGGGGGAAGAAGACCTGTATAGAAGAAACTAAGAAAACACAGGCAGGTCGTCACGGAGACGTATGGTTAACAGGTCAGGTAAGCTTCTCCAGTTTGGTACATGCAAAATCTGTGAAACACAGCTAGACATGGATATATTTTAAACATATTATTAGCATGAGAATGAATGTATAATAATAAAATAAGACGTTTGAGTTTGGCAGTACAGACTAAAATCACTCCAGAGTTGGAGAAAAAAAAATGTTAATCGGAAGGAAGAAAAAAAGATAAGGGCTGTGGATCAGGGTAGCTGTGTGAAATGTCAGTATCTCCAGGGTGTCCTGCTTCGTGGTCCCTCCTCCCCCCCCATGACTGAAATGGAAGGAAAAGAAAATGCCGGAAAGGCTGCCTGCTCCAGGTACGATGAACTCACACAATCAAACAGCTGCCTTAAGTCCGCATCAGAGGCTAGCTGCCAAGGTACAGGAAGTGCCTCTACGTGTCACTTCCTTCGAAGAACGCGCTCCTGTTGAACCTATGCTTGCCTCCCCCTTCCCAGCATGCACCAGGCCAGCTGAGAAACCTGTAACCTCAGGCACAGTCTCAACATTTCATTTGGAGCTTTACTACTACTGCAGTTCTCATTTTTATTGTTATTTCTAAGGCTTCTTGATGGCTGTCTTCCCACAGAGCCACCTTGTTTTTCTATTTTTTTTGTCTTTTAAAATTTTTTTAAATCCATCTGGCCTCAGTGTTCAGGGCCAGCGTAACATCTCCTCCTCTTCCTCTTTGGCAGCCTTGGGCAACAGAGGGGGAAGAGGAGGGGCTATTCCTGCCCGCTCTGCTCGACGCTCACCGCCCTGCCCGTGCCCTCTTCTTCCTCGCCCTTCATCCTCTTCTGCGGCGATGCCTCGGTGGGTTCCGTGGCGGGCCGCTTGTTGCGCAGGGAGGTGGAGTTGGAGGCGGAGGTGGCCAGCATGTGGAGGGCGCTGGATACTGTGGGAGGGAAACCATGGAAGTATCTGGTAAGTGACATGGCGGACAGCAGGGCGGCGCTGTAGAGATGCACCGGCTCAGGACTAACCCACTACCACGTCTGCGTATATTCTCAGGGCCGTGACAGGCTGGGGACAGGGCGTGCTTGGATGCAGATGGACTGATCTTGACATTTACTTCTCCGCTAAGAGAGCCACCCAACCTCCTCCACGACGCTCTCACCTGTGCTGCCCTGTCCCTGCGGGGCGAGGGCCACCACGTGAGTGCCATTCTGCCTGATGGGCTTCACTGGCAGCTGGTGCTGCCCCAGAGGTGCCTGCGTCACTATGGTAACCGTCTGCAGGGGCATGGCCTGGGACGTCTGGATGACGTGTCTAGTGGTTCCCACAGAGCCGTGGCTGATGGCTGGAACGGATTCTACCTTCACTGCAAAGTACAGTAGGAATATTAAGTAAATATTAAAAATCAGTACTCAGTACTCCATTCCATATATTTTTCCACAAAGCAACATGAGTATCAGGTCTATCCATCTGTTTGGGATAATTTCCTGACCCAGGTCATGTTACACACTAAACCAGGGGTAGGCAATCTTATCCACAAAGGGTCGGTGTGTGTGCAGGTTTTTGGAATAACCTGTAGGTCAGCTGTTCAAACCCAGGTGTGAGGACTCTTCCGCCAATCAGTCCCCTAATTAGTAATATAATTAGGGAGTTGCAGTGAAAACCCGCATACACACCGGCCCTTTGCGGATAAGATTGGCCACCCCTGCACTAAAGGTTCAACAGCAGCACGCGAGATGTAAATGCAGCACTCTGTGAAAGGTGTTCATTTGGCCAACAGAATGCGAGCGTCACCTTTGACCTCCTTGTGCTCCCCGTTCTGCTGCGGCTCGGCCACCGACACGGCGGGGATCTGCTGCACCACATGGACCGTCTGCATGATGGACGGCTGCGGGCTGGAGCTCGGGACGGGCGAGGCCACGGCGTACGCCAGCGGCTTGAGCGACTGGGACAGCGGCCGCTGCACGGCAATGAGGACGGGCTGGCCGGCCAGAGAGCCTGCGGTGCAGACAGCAAGGCCGCCACGCTCAGAGCTGCAGCTCAGCTTCAGCATACATGCCCTAAAACAGGGATCCCCAGTTCCGGTCTTGGGAGCGGAGGTGGAAAGTTCAGTACGAATCCAGACCAAGGTTTTGTTTCAACCAACCAGTTGTGTATAAAGAGTCACAGATACTCAACTGGCTGGCTGAAAGAAAACCTTGGTCTGGATTTGTACTTTTTGGACCTAAACTTTCTACCTCTGCTTGGGATGCCAGAATCCAACACGGTTTGCACATTTTCATGCTTAAACATCTTAATCATCTAATTGCCAAGTTAAGTAGGTACAAGGAACAAGGAAATTTGCAGATTGTGTTGGATTCTGGCCCTCAACCTGGAAACCCTGCCCTATAATTGTAACATTTTTAATTGCAATTCTTCTTTAAATCTGACAATCTAGTCACGCATTTGCTAAATGTGTACAACAGTGTGGGGGAAACATTACTATGAATACTGATCACTAACTGGATTCATTTGGAAGACGCAGCTACTATATTGGGCCAAAAAAGTTGCAAGGAACAGCGCCCTCACCTGGCGTACTCTGAGCAAAGCGAGCCTCCTGGATCACAGCCATTTTGGACTGGACTACTGCAGTGGAGCCAGGGGTGGGAGTAGGGGTACAGGCTGGGGCAGTTGTGGGTGCATGGGCAGCGGCAGGTTCGGCCGGCACTGGAGACCCCTCCCTGGAAAAACTTTCTGGGGTCTGTACCCCGCTGGAGTGAGCAGACAGCACCCCCGAGTGGCTCGGAGAGGCAGGGGCACTCCTGGGAAGAGGCGCAGGGTCATTACTCAACAGCGACGACCGCAAGCCATACACCCCCATTAAAAGAAATACAAAAATTATATACAATAAATGTAAAGTTTTAAGAGCCTTTAAAGAGCCCTGCCAGTTATTGCCAAGCTGTAGTGTAACACTACATCCACTAGATGTCCCCACAGGGGATTACCTGGAGGACAGGGGACCCAGGGGAGTGCGGAAGCACGGCCCACCGCGAGGCCTGCGCTTCCGGAAGGCCTGATCCACAAGCTTGTCCACGGAGGCAGGGTCTATTTGCCAGAAGGAGCCCTTCCCCGGCTCCTCCTGGGACCTGGGCACTTTAATAAAGTAGCGGTTCAGAGACAGATTGTGTCGTATCGAGTTCTACAACAGAGAAGAAGTGTTAGTGCACAGGGACACACTGGCAGGCCCGCCCTCCTTCACAACACCCCTCATGCTTTTCACACTTGGCAATGGTGTGCAGCAGCACTCAATGTGACTAATAGGCTACTGATGAAAGACAAGCGTGGTTCATGGGGCCTAAGATGTACCAACAGGCCTGGAAAGTTCAAGTGTATCTATATTTACTGCAATTCACAAATACCCGACTGATAAAGGTATGCAGGTCTTATATGTTTGGTTATACTAAAGGAAGATAAACTTTAATAGTCCAAAATGGAAAAATTAGCACGTTTGACCTATAGTTCTACCCACAGTGAGTCACATGTCTCTTTAATCATGCATGTGTATTCTACTGACCCAAAAATCACAGGTATCTGGGGGTATTCCACTAAGCAGGATTTCTCAATTCTGCTGGGTTAACTTAAGCCAGACGTCATGATTGTCCAGTGGGAATGCTCCTTACCTAAACTCTCACTGGACGATCATGACTTCTAGCTTAAGTTAACCCGCCTAACTGAGAAATCCTACTTCGTAGACCCCTCCCCTCCCACTCCAAAAGGGAGGGTGAGGATAATGAGGTCCGATTCACCTGCCAGCCCTTGTCTGCCGTCCTGTAGTAGGGGTAGTTCTTGGTGATGTGGTTGTATATCCCATTCAGGGTTAGCTGCTTGTCTTGAGCCAGTGTGATTGCCTGCACTATGAGCTGTGCATAGGAATATGGGGGCTTGGAGTCATCCTGGGGGCAGAGAAGGTGAGGCTGCTCATTTTTCACCATCTGCCAGCTCTCATTACATCCACTTCTGCAGAGTCCTTTCAGTTACTTCACGCCCCCAGTTCATTCAGCATCGATATTCACATATCGCCGGCTCTGCACTGCTGTGCTTGTTATAATAACTATACTAAGCTAATTAAGCTTTTGTCCAAAGTGATGCACAAGTAAGGAAACCTAGGAAATCAGCCAGCACACAAAAGCTGACGCTAAAGTTCTTGCTCAAGCGTCCAAACAATAGTGTAATTAGTCTGACAGCAACTCGCAACCATCCATCCCGACATGGGCACAAATCCCTAATCCACGGTTCTGCTCTGATCAAGAGATCCGGTAATCATTCCTGCTCCTTCAGCACCCTGTGCTGCCCAAGGTCGGCCCACTCACCTTGGGGCTGCCCTGTTCCAAGGCTTCTTTGTCATACTCGGGCTGTGAGTGGTCTACAGCAAGCTGCACCTCAGGGGCGAGAGCTCGGGCCGAACGGTAGCCAGATGCTCCAGCGCCACGGGGGCTCGAGGGGCAGGAGTTGGCAGCGCTGTGGCCCCATCGAGGATGGGGGGGGAAACAGGTGGTTAAGTTTTGGGAAAAGAAACTTTTACCTGTGCCATTCAAATTCAGCAGGTTTTGGTCTGACAGTCCCATGCTCCATATGATTTACTTCTTAAACAGGAAAAATTTATTTTGATTTCAGTTAAGAACAAAAACCATGTAAACAGTTGAAGATGGCAGCACCAAATCCTGTTTGGACAAAACTTATAACATGGTCATTATGAGCGCAAAGAACAAAAACAAGTAAATATCGCAAAAAATTCAGCCAAGGGAAGCAGCTGGGCAATGATGTCGAATTCACCATCTCAGTAAGTAAGTCCAGTGAGACTGACACGCTGCCTCTACTCTCATCTAGTTAAGCTGCTCAGAAGTCGGCTCTGTGTTTCCCTTCATCACTACTCATAATTTACTTCTCATCTTTGTTGCTTGTTGGCAAGCAGTAGATTATAAGTGCTGCTGATTATCAAACTGGATGTATGCAAGTCTCGTGTAGCACAACTACAGTGTCGCATCTGTGCAGAAACAAGAAAGTTGCTTAGTGTGGCAGAACTAACAGAAACACACCACCTTCCGAACAAACTGAATATGGTCGAATATATACAGATGCGGTCTTTCATTCACGTGTCTTCAGCGGATTGTAGATTATTCGCAAGAACCGATCGAGGTGACAGTCATGACAGTTGATATGTCGTGTGTGGACTGTGTGCATTTCGTGTACATGTATATTCAACATTTTGTGGATTGCCGTGATTCACATGGTGTTTTCTCTTGGTTGTCAGAAGAAATAATGTGTATCGTCTGTCTGCCACTCAAATATGTATATTTACTGCTGCAATGGTCCAAATTAGGCTGGCAGGTATCAATAATTGGATATTTGTCAATGCTGTGACCACCAGACAACGGATACTAGTATATTTGACTTGAACAAAGTCAACCTATTAGTACTCAGCTATCAGCATATTACTGAGACAGAAAAATGATAAATTTCAATTCCTGCAAACCTACATGTACTAGAAGCAACAAAAACACAAAACAAGACAAGAAGAATAGTTGCGAACTATGAAATTTATTATCTAGTGTTTTCTTAAGGTGGGCGACCAGATTCTTTGGATGTGGTCACCCAACAGAGGTCTCCCAGGCCATATGTGGGTGACCACAGAAAGAGCTGCTGGGGTCCCACTGGGAGACCACCTTTGAACTGTAATTGTCCACCCCTGTATGTCTGCTTAGTACAGAAACTATTCCTAAGGTCATGACTAATTAACTCTGAATGCCTCCCCTCTAGCACTGAAGTACAACTCGAGAAAATCATTATATTGTAAGGAAGAAAGTCAGACGTATGGCCATTGAGGCCCCCAGCACCCGCGTGGGCTCGGCCCCCAGCACCAACCTGATAGTGCCCGTGGGCGATGGGAGTGGGCTCATCATGTGAGCGATGCCGTCCGCGGCCGGGGCAGGGATGCTGACAGAGATGCCGTCAGGGATACTGATCGTCAGCGGCTCCACGGGCGACTCCGGCCCGTTCCAGTGCCGCTTCGGACCGCTAGACAGCGCCGTGAACGTGATCTTGATGTTTGTGCTGGGAAACCTAAAGGTGCAACTGGGAGGGAAGAGGAACGCAAACAGGATGTTAGCGTGAGTGCATTGCCCGACTATCTTTTTCCCCATTGTCACGTGGCAGAGTTTAATCACAGCACAGAAAGAGAACATGTGGGGTTCGTCTTAGCAAGCAGAAGTATTCATTCATTCACAGCTGTACATTTACTGACTTTCTGAAAGGCGATTTAAAACCTATTTTACATTCAAAGCGCAATCCCTGGCATTTTAATGCTTGGTAGCTCCCTATGCCAGGGCTCCCCAATTCCGGTCCTGCAGGCTCAGAACCCAACACAGTTTGCAGATTTCCCTGCTCAAACACACCTACTAAACAGGGTAATTAGCTGAATAAGATGTGTTTGAGCAGGGAAATCTGCAAACTGTGTTGGATTCTGACCCTTCGGGACCAGATTTGGGGAACCCTGTCCTATGCCTTCAAAACCCTCAGATTTGAGATGGAAAAAGTGAGAGCCTTGCAGACTTAATGAAATCACCCAAGAATGAAAATGTTCTCACAACGGCCTCAAACCTTCAGGTGTCACAAGTCATACCAGAACTCGCAACAAAGACCACGACAACATAAAAAAACAACAGAAGCAGCTCCCTTGACAACATCATCCTAACGGCTCAGAAAAGGCCCTTGATTACGGTAGGGGAAAACCTAGTTCTAAATTAATACATTTCAGGTGATTGTAGCCTGGTGCTTCCAACCCATCTTCTAAAAGAAATTAGGCTTTTTTTAGCACTAAGAAGCTCACTCTCCTTGCTTCTACAATAGGTACAGCAGAAAATAACATAGCAAAATGTATGTGTTTTTTTTTTTTTAAACCTTTATTTTATTCATGCTCAAACATGCTAATTAGGTCTCTCGACTCACCAGCCAGTTAAAAATATCTCGGGCAGTTGTAACCATAGCACTACAAACACAGTCATTGGAGGAAGCAGCATTACTACAATGGGATTATTAAGTATCTCATTAAGGACAGAGTACTGAGGAAAAGGGCTGCAAAATGTTTTACAATACAGGTCATTTTTATTTGCAGCAAAGCATGTTTAAACTCTCCTACAGCAATCTAAATTTTCCAATGTCCAACACAGTAAATTTTTCACATTTAAAATGTTTCTACAGATAGATTACTAGGTTATATACCTTGGCTCAGGGGCACACAGTGGCTGTGCTCATCCCAAAGGTTACAGCTTGGGATTAGGAGTTCATTCCCATCACCACAAGAACACCCGAGAATCAGCAAATAATAAATCCTGTTACCCTCATCTCTACTGTTGAATCTGAATACATTCTTCAGCTAAAACTGGTTGCATATTGTCGGATACGGCAGCCCTGGATCGCCAACATAAATTGTTCAAAGATCTACCAAACAGCACACCTTCCACTGAAGGATGGACACACCCCAAGACAGGAAACGGAATTAGTATGCTTTCAAGATGCTGTTTTACTTTCATTTGTCAAAAGCACATCAAGCAAAATCTCTCATTTTATAGTCAACGGAGTCTGACTTTCCCATCCTGTGGAAAACTTAGTGCAGAATGTCCATCTCTGGCTGCAGAGAATGGATTCACACTGAACATCAGCCATGTCCACCTGGAATCAGCTTTCCTAGAACTACTGTGGTCATGAAAACACCAAGTCAGCATTTCCTCAATTAGACTTCCCACAAAAGTCTCCCGCACACACCGTAGTGGTACAGCTCTGGACAGGCTAGTTAAAAGTAAGGCTGGCAGGTCAAGTTCTACAAAAAAATTCTGCAGAGTTGCCCTTGAACGCAGTACGTAACCTGAATCATTCCGGCAAATACACAGCTGTGAGTGAGTAAGACACTTCAGACTGTGACGGAGCAGGACTAGAACATCTACAAACATCAACGGACAAACAAGATATGAACAGTACCCCTCCTAGAGGCAGAAACCAAATGCAATGCCTTAAAACAATCAAAGCTTAATCCAAATGTTCCTAACCAGACCACAAAAGCAAATACACCAAATTATCACGATTAGAGGGATTACCTTAAGGCACTAGGTTTCATGTTGTATGTTAACAATAAATCCATACAATCACCAATTACCAGATCGCTTATACAGCTGAGAGATGCAATGTAAACAATACAACTAAAATCTTCTTTTGATATCAAAATCTGACAGGAGAATCAGTACATATTTTTACACGTATATACATTGTTAGAAAAGACTATACTGTCTCTAAGCGCATAGATTCATTCATATAAAACAATACAAATGGATGAGTTGCGAGAATTCAACAGCCACAGTCAACTTACAACAAAGTAACTTAGCTTTACCAAATACAGGTAACAGCAAGAATCACATAATTGATCACCGTTTCAGAGGCACGCAAATAGGTAAGTATGATTTCCGGGCAACTTAGAACTGAAGTAACGGTCGCAAAGCAAAGCGGTTAAAGTAACCACAATAACAACAGGCTGGTATCTCGTCACCTCGGTCTCCGCAACCGTGGCGGCCAGACCTCCCCACCCCGGTCTCCTCCCTCAGAGAAAGCGGGCAGGGCTCGGCTGACGGCATGAACCGCAGCGGCCCGGTACAGAGAAAACGCCACACGGCCCACTTACAGTCGCGGCAGCTGCAGGGGAGCGGCCCCTCTCCTTAGGAACACTCCGTCTACGAACACCCCGTTCTTGCCGAGGCACCTCAAGTAGAAGTCTCCGCCCGTCCTGTCGTCGCCTGTCTCGTCGTCGCCCACCGTAAAAATTTCTAGATGCCGGCGCGAAATAAAGCTGGAATGGCCCATGCTCACGTCCACCGAGCCCTGGGACGAGTTCCGCCCGATGGTCACCGAACGTTTTTTCATAAGGTATTCGAATTCCCGGCCCTCGAGCCGGGCAACTGCCGGTTCCGACAACCCGCTCACCACCGCCATAATACACGGTACGGGCTCTAATGTACGAATCTGGAGCAAAGCGGCACTGGAAGGGAAGACCCAAATAGGGGGTTCTGAAGAATTTGGTAACAGGGTGAATCCTGAAACTGGGAACCCAATTTAAACTGAAAAAATGAAAAAGAACGTGCCAGGCAGGTCAGGGACAGCGGCTACAGCCCACCGCCGCGACAGAGAGAAAGGGAAGGAGAAAGGGCCAACCAACCACGCACCAGAATCGAACTACGTTTGATTGACAGTACTGTGCACCAATAGAAAAAGAGAATACAAAATGCAAACCTACACAGTAACAGCCAATGGGAACTCAGGCAACGTACGCACACTCGGTTGCCCTGGGGTCAACGCGCAAATCGATTGTGAGTGATAAAACCTGGCAAGTGGATTGTTAACAGCATGAACGTTATCGCCAAGTAATTATCAAATTCGAATTATTTGACGATAAAATAATGTTTCAAAATGTTCTCAGTGGGAGATATTGCCTAATTAAGTTTTAAGATGGCGCATGTTAATTAGTAATTATCTTCTCCAACCTACTTCTTATTACTAGGATTTCGTGCATGCAGGGTCAGGCCGGGATTTGTGGGTAACGCAAATGTCTGCGGCAGTCAGAGCTCACATCGCAGTACCAAACGTCAAGGCGACTGAGCTGGTCGGAATTTGGAGGTCACTCTCAACTAATGTGGAATAATAGCCATGCCCGTAGTACTGAGTGTATATCTAAAGGGGAAAATAGGAACCTATAACCTAGTGTGTAAGCTGGAATGAATGTCTCATCTCACTTATGTTTTTCTAATAAGGAAAACTTTGGCAAGCAAACACGTGCGTTTTTCGGTGACGTCACCAGTGAGCTCTGACCAATGGCATACGCGAACACTGACTGTTGGTAAACATGCAGAAAAGTGGCGGAAGTTCCGTGTGACGGTCTTTCAGACTCATTTCCTACTAGGCCATGTGTTCGTTGGATTACTCCAGTGTGTTCCACCCATTTGATTGTCTGTGGCAGTTATGTTGTTGTTCTGAATATTGCTGTGCCATAAATATAAATTTGTCCGGTTAAGTATGTATTCAAGGTGATAAAAACGTGCCGGTACGTTTGTTATATTCAATACAGTGATAATCAGTACATAGTACGGTGATTCAAAGTAACATCTTCGTATTTTTCGCACGTTTTTTTCAAGAAATAACGTATCCGCCAGAGGGCTCCCAGGAGCTGCAATTGAAGTAATTCAGGTTCCCATGGCAACATGCCATAAACTGGGATGGGACAACTGCACATTTTTCCGGGACGCATTGTAAAATACTGTATCATGTGTATGCAATGTGAGGAATGGAATTGTTTGGTCGAATATTCATTATTATTAAACATCGAATGCAAAAAAACTAAGCAATTTAATATTATTATTATATTAAATACTTTTGTTTACGTTAGGCTATTTCAGATTGTGCGATTGTGTGAATTTGTATTGTTGAATGCTCTTGAACTATGATGTTATAATTCAGAGGGTTGTTTTACGATTAACATCGATAACGTAACAAAGATTATTTATATCATTATGCCATGTTCATTTAGCTACAATGCAGAAACAGTGCAATATCTAAATCGTTTGGCGGAAAGTCTTTTTCTAAAATAAAATAAATACACGTACTTAGCGGGGGTACAGACGTTTTCTATGTGTTATTATGGGATGTAGACAAAAATTTAACGGCAGCTGGATGATGTTCCTGAATCACATTCTAAATATTGTAAACACAGTCATATAATGCTAATTAAAAAACCTTTGCCTTTGATTACACAAATGCAGCAGGGTAACATTTCGATTAGCAATAAAACAAAATGCCATTTGAAAGTCATTAAGATGTCGTCGGAACTGCGGCTGTTAGGCGACCATTACTGGTTCCCTAATGGCTGCATATTGACCAAGATGAATAGCGTTGGTGTGTCACTGGACGCAGATAATGCTGAAAATTGGTCTTGGTGGTTTTCTGGGCTCAGTCAAAACAAAGTCCACGGTTTAATTTCTGCTTCTGTCAATGTGCCCTATTGAAAAAGTCTATATGCTGTTCAAACCATTCCCTGTTAAGAAGATATACTTATTTAAAACCGGTAAACCGCATACGTTTACTGCGAGTGTAATATCTGATCATCCTAGATCATAAAAAACGTACGGTTGTTAATATAGATTACAATAAAATGACAAGTTTCACAGAAGTCAAATAAACAGCTAACCCCTTTGCGATTTGACCGTTACTACAGTGTCCCCGTAACGTTTAAGATGCGCCAGTCTCCCGGTGACAGATATGTGAACGCAGCAGTGCTTCTTAAATGAAAAGTGAAGGAAATCGATAACACTCATTCGGGAAGTCCTCTGTCATTATTGCATTGGAAAGCTTTTACTGCTCATTAGCAAACGTGCGAGGTCTCCGGTTGTTTGGTAATGTGGCTCAACTGAAACTATAACGATTCCCAGGCGGCACCAAAGCGCTTGGCTGAAGCGTTTAACGCTTTGTGAGCAGAAAGGGGCGCCGCGCCGAAAGCTTGTCTGCCGGCCTGAATTCCCTAAAAGTAATTATACCCTAAAGTTTCGGCGTAAAGATAAAAATATGTTCAATAACTGGTAAGGCCGTGAAGAAAAAAAAACTTGTATTAAAATAAAATAAAAATGTAAGGTGAATGTGGAGGTCAGCGGAGGCGATGTATGAATACATACGAAAAGGAAAAAGTTACATTACGCAAGACTTTAATGTTATTAAAATAAACAATAAGTCTATATAATAGTTCCAAGCAGGAAGAAATAAGGGAAATGAGGGATTACATAAAATTTAAGAGGAGGAAATAAAAATATCAGTAATGACTGAATAAGGGGTTTTTAAAAACTTCCTTACAAGTAATATTGACTATGATAAGGAGAACAAGTCATGAATGGCTGAATCACCTTTTTAGGTTAGGACCTAGTTCTATAGCTGCTGTACCACATTGTTCTTTGCGGAGGGCTGCATATACAGGAGGGCGGGGCTTGGTGGTGCTTTTCTGGCTGTCTGATTGGATGCAGGGGTAACACGTGACAATGACAGAAACTGGTTGTCCTACATTCAACCCCAAACCACGCGTGTTCTAATATTGGCAAGTTCATTTTTATTCATATAGGTGAATAACATGGTCAGTGATTAAACAAAAAGAAACCTTACTAACACAAGAACAGAATAAATTAGATGATGATTTCACTTGTGATTAATTCTGTATATATTTTAAACTTAAAGATTGATAAACACCAGTTATGGTGTATACTTTATATGTATAATGTTAAAATGATGTTATATATTTAAGGTTTAAAGATGTTATCGGTGCTAGATGTCATCCAGAAGCAGCAATTCCCTTTTTTGAGGTTAACATTGCTCCATTCCTTCCAGCAGAGATGAAAGACAGGCCTTCAGATGTGGTCACACAGTTTCTTTCTTTTCTGGACCCTCATTCTTTCAGTAGAAGTGACACAGCCTGTTAGGCTGGTTTTACATTCAGACCAAACAAGAATATTCCTTCTACGCGCGAAAATAAAATTAAAGTCGACTATATCAGCTTTTGCTGACAAACAAAATTGGATGCATATACACAACAGACAAACCACCTAAGTCCAAAAAAACACCTTCAAGTGCAGGATGTTCTGCAATGCAGTCCGCTCCCAGGGTATCCCCGATGAGTCCTTGAAGATGTGACGTCTCCAGTATCCCTGGAGCAAAACTGCCTGCTCTGTCCTCCATACCATCTTCAAATGATCCCCCTTCAAAGACACAAACACAGCGGCACAGTTTGTTTTGCTTTTGGCTTCACCGCCAGAAATAGCCGGAGATGATCCGTTTTACAAACCTCTTTGCTGGACAGACGCCATCATCGCTCTGTCTCATTTGCCCCAATCTTGATGGGCAATTTCAAATCCCCCCGTTCGAATTCCTGAAGCGAGCTTCTCCAGACACGAGTTCCTCGGCGCAAGCCGCTGACTCCCGGCACAGCGAACGACATTGCGGTTCCTACTGCGGCAGGAGCAAGTCTTCGTCAGCGACGTAGATGTTCCCCAGGTACCAAAACGCCCAAAAGACCAGGCTAAGGAAGATGATGAGGGGTCCAGTGAATACGAGGAAGTCCCAGAAACTGAGTGGAGCAAAGATGCCGAGGAGGAGGATGACGAGGCCGACCACATCGAACACAATCGCCAGTAAGAGGAAGATCAGGCAGCGACCCATGTAACGTGTGCAGTCCATGTTAGACACGGAGTACAAATGAGGCAGAGCAGCGCGTCACTCATTGTCTTCAAAGGCCTGGTCCAGGTGCATTCTTTACATTTCTAACACACCTTGCCCTTCTGTAATCTTGCAGGACAACTCAGAGAGACGCCGTTGTCAGTGCTGCCGCTTTGGCCTCAGGTCAAGAAAATGTCTACAGCATCAATGCTGTCATGTAAATGCCACTGGAATAAACACAAGCATTAAATCTGGGACTATGTCTGGTTGACCAAAAGCATTGTGGTGTAATATGCATGCCGATATATTTCACTGCACGGAAAACATTCAGGAAATGACAAGAATAATCAACATATGTCTCAGTTCTTTATATTGATAAATGTACTTATATGTATGGTATATATTACTGTTTGCAGGTGGTATGGTGGCCTCACACCTCTGGGACCAGGGTTCGAGTCTCCGCCATGGCTCCGTGTTTGTGGAGTTTGCATGTTCTACCCATGTCATTGTGGGGTTTCCTACAGGGTCTCTGGTTTCCCCCCACAGTCCAAAAACAAGCAAGTTGCCAAATTCTCTGTAGTTGTGAGTGGTGTGTGAGTGGTGTGTGAGTGTGCCCTGTGATGGGTTAGTGCCCCACCCTGGGCTATTACCTGCATTGCACCTGTAGCTTCTGGGATGGGCTATGGACTCCCATGACCCTGTATAGGCCAAGCAGGTATGAAAAATGAATGGGTGCATTACTGCTTGCTTGAAAAGTCATTTTATGGCCCAATACATATATCCATCCATCCATCTTAACACTTCCATCAACCATTTGTGTTGGTCAGGATTTTGGGGGGCGGAGCCTATGCCAGGGGGCACAGGGCACAGAAACCGGTCTGCCAGTCTGCCAGAGGGCATGTACATGTATACGATCAGCAGTTTAGAGACACCAGTTAGCTTAGTTGCATGTTTTTGGACTGTGGGGGTAACCAGAATGGTCGGAGAACATGCAACCTCCACGCATGCCGAGTGGAAGTAAGATTCTCGCCCACTATGTGTACAAAATGCACCTTATTAAACACTTCTGCTGTGCAGCATTTTAGCTAATTTATCTTTCATCTAACTAGTCACATCAGAATCAGAATCAGTTTAATCACCAAATGCACATACTGTAGTACACAGGAATTTGACTGGGTGATACAGCGCAGTAGAAATTGAGAAATTAGTTACATATAGTTTTATAGTAGTTACATAAACTCCTAAAGAGATTATAGTGTGGTTAATTTGACATCTATTCTATCTTTTATATTTTATTTTGTTTATTAATTTTTTTTTGTGATATATTATTTTCATTTTGTTGTATAGTCTTCATCGTGTCCAGTGGTGTCTCTGTCTATCTATGCGGCTGCAGCAGATTCCTTCCGGGATCAATAAAGTTTTTCCTGATTCTGATTTTGCTTCTGATTCAGTTTCACGTGCCTGGAGATGTGAGGCCAGCATACTGCCCCAAATATATGTTTAAATACTCATTAACTAACATGACACATGAACACTCTGATGGGTTAAAGCTGTTTACAAGCATCGCACAGTTCAGACAAGCTCTTCATGTAGATAGTGTACACGGGATGTCACCGGTCCTGCCGCAGGAAATCGCCCTAGTGAGTGGGAGCTATAGACGTTGATTCAGTCTGGAGATGGATCTAACTTTCTCAGATGTCACTCGGTGAGGAACATTGCTGTTTATAAACAATGCAGAAAGAACAATTAGCGGAAGAGCGTTCCTCAAGGCTTGTAAGACTTGTGATCCCTGTTTGATCGGGTCTCCTGGACGCTGGAGCCTGCCGGACCTGTTCCGCATGCCACCCACGTCTCTGCTCCACTCAGAGGTTAAAGATGGGTTGTCTTGGGTAGCTTTGTTTTCTCTTCACGGGCGGGGGGGGTTTTTGGTCCTGCTTTATTATGGGCACCAGGACCAGACCCACTACCAGCACCATGAGCCCCACGGAGACCAACACAGGGCCCATGATGCTGGCCACTTGTTGGGTGCGAACGCCAAAGTAGAGGGCGCTGATCACAGAACCACAAAAAAGCACGGAACCCCCCACAGACATTAACAGGATGGAGTGACGGTAAATCTCACAGGTGCTATGTGACTTCTCTGCCGTCCACACCGACTCACTCTGTGACAGACTGAAGATAGTGGTCTCAGGCTGCGGATTCACTTGGTCACAGGAGGCCTGGCAGACTGGCTCACTCTGAACTTTTACTGGACTGGCTTCCATCTCTAGCTCCCCCTGCTGGTGTGGAGGATAACTCATGAGTTAGTGCTTGCTCATTTTAATGATTCTACTTTTGTCAATTATTTTCCTGCGAAACAATTTAAATAGTAACATAATCTTTGTAAGAATACACATGTATGTATTTGGTTGGACATTACTTGGAGCAAGTTGAAGACAAATAACTTTCTTTATGGTTCATCCCACCATTTACTAGTCTATACCCCATAGACATACACGCAGAGTACTGAGTACTGGAACTTCAGTGGGAGGACAAAACTACCATTACCAGTATATCAGCAGTATTAATTATCTTCCTCCAGTGAATGTGAGGCATGCTCTGGCTGACTGAAAATGCCACCAAAATTTGGTTCCGGCCCACACCCAATAATGCTCTGGTTGCCTTTTCCAAACCCTCACAATGCCACGCCTTTTTTTAATGTGCAAGGATGCAATTAACAAACCTGAGGTGCCAAACTAACAGGAGTGTTTTTAATAATTAGTCAAACAGTACTGGTCTGTTTTTTTTTTCATTTTAGCATCTTCTAAGCCCAATTCCTCTCAACATAATATAGAAATATACAAGGTATATGAATAATTAATGATTAACAGTATTAAAAAGTACTGAAGAAGCACAAATACTCACAGTGAAACCTAACGGAGGGATTTAATGGTACCAACCTGAGCTTCTCCGCGTGTCTGCAGGGGAGTGACTCTGCTATCTTGCCTCTCTTTTTGGAAGCAGGTCTCAGCTCCAGCCATTGGGCGTGCAGGTGGGATCCAGTGATGTGACAACAGCCTGCTCCTTCAGTCTCAGTCTCGCTCTCCTTCACTGGCACTCCGGACCGCATCTGGCCCAGCGTGCTGGGGGGGGCGGAGCCATGCGGGCGTGGATCAGACTCACTGTGGGAGGACAGGGATCCGGCCACCAAATCCACCCCAGGGACACTGTCACTATTGTCCGGAACTCTCTAAACAGGCCTACATTCCCACCGTAGACTAAGCTTTTCCTTGACCAGTCTGCCATTGGTGTGACCCGACAGAAGCTTATATCCCATTCACAGAACCACCTGAGCAGAGATAATGAGGTCAGTCTTGTATGTAAAATTAAATAATGGGGATTTTACTGCGATTGCTTGCTACTTCTTGTTCACACATACTGTACTATAATGTTTAGGCAGATCACTAAATTAAGGGCAGTAAATATTATGACAAAAATGTGCATTTTCCAGTACATGTGTGGGCACTGGGGAAATCTGATTACATCTATCTGATTACATCAAGAAGGTCAGACGGTGTTTCCATGGATACATGCAGCCATAGCTCCCATGTTCTTGTATGGACGCATATTCCATCCCAGGAATGACCAACTTCTGACTTTAAGCAAACACTCCTTAATCCATCTGGCATATTTGTATTCTGCCATTTTCGGTGTCTTACTTTCAATTAATCTTCAACTATCTGAACAATTGAATGAAATTCTACTTATGAAAACAGGAGTGACCAATTTCTGAGGGTTGATTTGCTGCCTTTTTCTGGGTGAACTTTTTTTTAATTAAAAATGAAGAGTTGTAGGCAGATACATACGTCGGATGTGTCAATGAACAGACCGATACCCTTACATGCAAACTAGGTTGTAGAATAAATTAATTTCTTGCCTTATGCACTCGCACTCCTTGACACATCATTCAGTTCAACCTTGGCTCTCTGAACCTCCGTGCCAGATTCCTGCCTGACCGAGCTAAGTGGACTCAAGCCGCCTGCGACCCAAGTGTGTCTTGTCTATTTATGGCCAGTCCCAAATAAATGTCCCTGCAAGCCCTCATGCACGCTGTCAAAACGTCTTAGTGATTATATGGAAAATAAACGTTGCCTTTGCGTGCATTTTTAAATTGCACTGCTTGATTAAAAAAAAGGATATTTTTACAGCTTTCGTGTTAATTTTGATGAAAATTTGGATAATTGGAGGAAATAACGAAGAAACCCAAACTGCTGGAGCTTTGAAGCAGAAATATTACTTACTAAGCCACCATGCCGAATGTTTGACAGTACGAATAACATAATTCTATATTCGAAGAATTTTCGTTTCCTTTACAAGTTGCCATTTTTTAAAAACTGTTTTACGCTAAACAAAATATTCAACCACACGAGGGCGACATATCCCAAAAAATGTTTCCGAAACAACGCATTTACAAACTGCTGCTCATGATCAGTAGACAGTCGGTGTAAGAGTTTGATGACGAAATGGAAAACAGCAGAAGATAAATTATTCATTACAATATTAGTTAAATATGGCATTCTAATTCTAATCTCACTGTAAGTGTTCTCTTTCTAATCACTGCTAATACTCATTTCTCTTGGTCTGCATCTCGTTTGATTTTTCGAAATATTTATGGCTGCGTGGAGTACCATGCCTTCAGCTAACTTGGATAGAGGAGATTAAAGGTCACAGTGTGCTATATATACATATTAAAAAACAAAAAATGTCTGCCTGTTGCCAATGAAAGGCACTGAGATTTAGTCTGTTCCCCTATCAGAAAAATCAATTATTCATCTTGCGGTGCGAACATTTCCCGCCAGATGCCAGCACCGCCTCAGAGGGAAGCGCTCGCCGGGGGATCCCACCATGTGCGGGTGGTCGGTGGTCTGTACTACGAAGCGGGGTTACTGGCTTATCGGATTTAAGGTAGTCTGGGTAAAATGTAAGTGAGCGAATATTTAGTCCATTTAAGCTGTGGTACCTTAAATCCAACAAGTTACCCCGATAAGCCAGTAACCCCGCTTCGTAGTACAGGCCACAAGCCACTGGCCACAGGTCTCCTTTGTGACACGCCCCTAAAAAGGGGTGGAGAAATATCAGATTAGAGACCCAGAGCTGTCTTCTGATAGGCTGAGATCGGCATTAACCATGGCTATTGGGCCTAGTAATGCTTCAAATAATAAACAAACAAACAAACACACAAACAAACACAACAACAGTAACGATGCATTTTCTTTGTTACGTGTATTTTTCACACTGAATAAGCTTCACAATAAAATAAAAACAGCTAAAACTTAGTCACCCAGTAGAAGTAAAACCATAAGATTAAGGAGGTAATAAAACACAGAAACCAATGGGGTAATAAAAACAGAGACTAGATGCAATAGGAAGGAAAATGTGTAAGTAAACACTGGTACAAAAACAAAGAATTATAGTATAAATTAAAATTAAGTTACATAGTTAAAAAATTAACGAACAGGCAATAAGACTGAGAAAGTCAATCTAAATAAATAAGTCTTGGGTTGTACCTTGAAAACTTCAAGACTGTGTGCAGCATTTACATCACTTGGCAGGGAGTCGCACATCATAGGCGATGATGTTACGGTTTGCTGTGCGTTTGTTGACGCAGCACAGACTTATTAGCATGAAAGTAGAAGAGTTTCGGGAACTGTGCCTGTGACGTCAGCACCTCTTCTGCACAACCGAAACGGCGTCCTCAGCTTGTGCCCCATGACAGGGAACTCCCCTCTCAGCCTGTGCCCTCAGACAAAAGGCCACACGCCTGATAATTAACAGATAAAGGCTGGGGTTTCCACGCCACTGCGCAGATGACGTTTCGGAGTTAGGAACCTTATTTGCATAAGGTATCTGCTGCGGGGCTGTGGTGAAATGGACCGTGGAGGGGAGTTTTAATTGAAACTGGAAAGTGTGGGGAAGACGAAGTGCCTAATCCCTTGGGGGGGGCTGGAGCTTTCTGATGGACCTGAAGAAATGGACCAGGGAACCGAGGCCGCAGGTAATCGGCATGACTGTAAAATTGGTCGCGTCACCGTAGACATGCGCTGTCATAGGCGACTCCAGGTATTTCTCCCGTGAGAGAGCTCAGCCATTCAGCCACATAAAGAAATTTGTAAAAAAAAAAAAAAGAAGTACATACATACAATAAATTATTATTATACATTGATATGACTAACACAAGCCACATTTTCAAGAATACATTTAAATTTTATCGAGTTTAATGTTTAAATAGTATTTTTGATTTGACCAGTAGGGGGTGCAACTGCACCCCTGCAAGATTGCCTATGCAAGCTGAACACAAGCCCAGCTTATCCCCTTGCACCAAGCTGTATTTGGATCAATGCCCATATTTCACTTTAAACCAAACAGTCAAAGCTCTTTAGTTAAACATCCTAGTCTAATGGTCTCCTATACAGGATGCAAAGTGTTGGCCAGTTACAGCTGGACAAGTGAACAGCTACAAACATAAGTAAGTTAATGGTCCTCCCCAGCCAGGTCGCCACCTCCCAGCAAGGAGAGGCCATGTTTTCTTTCCCAGATGGAAGACGAAGGTAATGGAGTCTTAACAGAACTACAGACAGACAGGGTGTTCCAAGAAATCCTGGGAGTTTTACGTACACAAAAATGTTCTGAGGGCACAAAGAAAAATGATACCCAATCAGATTGTAGAGGAGGTGGGTCCAAGCAACTAGAAGAGGCGGGGCCTAGACATCTAATTGGTTGTTCCAGCCTCCTCTAGTTGCTTAGACCCACCTCCTCTAACACAGGAGTAAGAGTAGAATAACCATTAGAACTGACTGACCAGGGCAGCGTTAGCGCTACCAACAAAACTACTGAAAAAATGAGCCAAGGAAGTGCACCCAACTGAACCAGCCAAACAAGTCTCAGTAATCAGATAAGCTACCTGTAAGCAGCAGTCACAGCTAAAGCGTGGACAGATACCAGAGTCAGAGTGAGCAGCTCTTGTGGCTGTTTATATAGCTTAGTTAACCGCTGATACTTCCTGGGGTCAAAGTTTTGTGTTCCCTCCTGCAACATCCAACATCCATTCCTATCCAAAAGTATATGAATGTCTTGACGTCTTTTCTTGTTAGCGGTGAGTTAGGAAGACAGTGTGTCTGGACTGGGCCAAACCCTGATACATAAATGGATCTTCCAGTGAGACAGAGCCATTCGTCTCTGTGTTATGATGTACGTCTCCGACAGCTGGCCCAGGAACAAGCACATATACAGACAGCCGGACATACAAGATTGCGGCAGCCCCGTCATTTATCCTGAGCAAACCGCAGAGATCGATCTCCATCCCAGCGCTATGCATGAGGTCGTCTGCATGGCCTCCTGTCACCTGACAGAGCCCAGAAATCACGATTCACCCGGAGACACACCTGCAGGGAGAATGAAGCTTTTGGACCATTTCTGCAGGCACATCCATTCAAAATTTCAACTGCGTGGACTGGAGGACCTTCCCATGGTCTCATCACTCTGTAGACACGCTCAGGTGAGATTGCCGCAATCTCTGCTTTCAAAATGAGGCTTTTGGCCCTCAGACCCAGCAGGCGAATCTAGAACCACAAGCTGCACCATAAAAAGCCTTTTCCCATGAAAGAGGACAGTGCTACACCTGGCCTGTAGGGGCGCTGCAGCTCCTGTAACTGCTTGACTAGTATCTGTTTTGCTTGACCTGCTTCCTCTCTTGACCCAAACCTACATATACAAGTAACTAAACTTGCTAGCTGGGCACCTCAAAGTCTGAGCCATTTAGGTGAATGACTCCTGAAATGTATATTATGATAATACTTATATGTAATGTAATGTTTCATTTATTATTGTATATACTGTACCAATGTTTATGGACAATGTAAATAATAAAATACATCAAAAATGTAGAGAATGAATGAAATGTGAGGAACTTCTGGGAGAAAATGGGCACTAAGGCACCAGGAGTGAGAAAAGGGTGATTTGCTGCCTGAAGTGGCAGATGTGTGAACCGTAAGCTAACAGACTTCAGCTGGAACGCAGGAACGCCCCAGGAGCCTATAGCAGGTCCCGTATCTGCAGACAGCTGCGCAGGAACGCCCCAGGAGCC